CAGCAAGTGCAAGACAACATTTTGGAAGGGGTGAGTGTAGTGATGTCCTTGTGTGAAGTGACAGTGGGAGTGGTATCTTGTTCAGAAGTAGTTCCGAGCAAAGCATTTTTTATCACTGCTGACAACTAACTATGTGAAACTCTAGTCTCTCTTTAATACACAATGTTTAGGGCTCTGCAGTATACGAACTATCTGGTCTTCGAGGCAATCAGTGGAGTATATTGAATTGTATGTGCAGTATGGAGTTAAGTACCACTCTTAAAAATAATCTCTAATTAGCTCGGGTTTCACTTTGGTAACAAACAAAACTGCAATAAAAATATAGTTTAACCTTAAAATGAGCCTTTTATATCTCTGATGGTTCACAACTGAAATAGCGAGCGATCATATCACCTTCGTCTCCAGACAGTCTCTTCAATCCAACAACAGCTTCACATCTGGAATGCGTCATCAGTTAATTGGTCTTCTGCAGGAATGAATGCTAGCTGGCCTTTGGAATGTTGTGCACTCATTGAACTAAATACACAATAATGAAAGATATGGATGCATTTTTGAAATAAAACATAATTTGCATCTGATCCATATTCTCAAAGCTTTTCCATCCAACGGCTAAAATAAAAAAAGAATGTTTTTTCCCCCCCCAAAAAAAGCAATCACAATTACCTGATCACCAGTTGAAACTAATTAGAAGCCATTAAGTGGAAATTTCATTACGGGTAATGAAGAAATCAATGTTATCATGATATGCTAATGATACATCACCCAGACAAGACAAACCCATCTATTCATCTGCAGCCTGAGCTAGTTTAAATTAAATCCCAGGCTCACAGACCAGTCAATTTTGGTGAAGTTCGTAGCCCCCACTCTTCAGCCACTTCTATTATAATCAGGCAATGCTTTGTTGTTTATTGTTAGGAGAACCCCTAAAGCTTTTAATAATCCATCTACATATGAAAATGACTGCAGCCTGATTTACATGCATAAGAAGGATGTACTAATAAGGCTGTAGATTAAGAGAAGATTTAGTTCAGTCGTTCGTGTAGATTGGGTGTCCCATCAAAGGCCAGAAGATCTGACGACTGAAGATTAAAAGACAAACAGCTGTTGCAAAAATTTGTTGTTTTTTTTTATTCCATTGCAGACTTGTGGACTTTTTAGCATGCGCCCGACTGTTCCTAAGCCTGTGTCTGCTGATGTCAGGGGAAAGGCCTCTGGTCTAAGTGCTGTACTAGCAGATGAGCTACGGATTTCAGTAAGCAGTGGAACCTAGAACAGTCCTAGTGCGAGGAACAAAATTTAAAATTGTTGAAATATTGTAATTATAGGAGAGCGCGTGAGGAAAACACAAACCTGACAAACCGGGCAGTGATTGCATTACAGAGAGCCATGCAAGCTAAACACGAATGAGATTCCAGAGCAGGACACTGTCTTCGAAAACAATTCTGCAGAGTGCCACAGTTAAAACAGTTGCTTTCATTTTCTTAACATTGTCCGGTTTTCAGACATTCTGTAGTTACCGTTACAGTTTCAGAACAAAAGTGTGGGTTTTCAGTTCCCTGACACGCTTGATGCTTGTATCAAATAGATAATCTTGGCATCAGGATGAATCTGATTTGAACTCTGACCTCTGTAAAAGAAAGCCAGGACAAATATCCCATGGCAGCCAGGTGACAGAAAATGAATTAGAGCCAAAAAGCCACAGGACAAAAAGGCAATTTCCAATGGTTTCTCCACTTGTTGTTTTCATTTTGATACCTGACCATTTAATTGAACAGCTGCGCGATTAGCCGGTTCTCATCATTATAAATACTCAAAGACCTTTCACTTTGGAGGAAGTGTTAATGAGCTTTGTGATGGGTTTGCATTAGCTGCCTCTCTTACATGAGCCAGGGCTCTTTACATACTGCATAAACGGGATTGTTCAGTCTGTAATCTAAAATTAATCATGGCTGTGTAAGCGCTCCAGTGCCGTTTTGTTTTATGTCGTATTATTGACGACAGTTTTTTATAACGTTAATGTGCTATATATGGAAATAAAGGATCAACATGAGACAATTCTAGCAGATGACAAAAGTTTTTACGATGAGGAATTAGCCACTACGCCCCATGCTGACCGGGTGGGTTAGTTTGCTCGTGCCAGCTGTTCCATAACCTTGTACTACTATTAAAAAGTGCTGCCAGATATGTGTTATACATCCTGAAAGACACTGAAAATGCAACAGGTGAGCATAAAGTCCACATGCTTGAGCTGTGTTGTTATTGCCTTTTGGAATGTTAAAACACCATGCTGACATATTGTATGTAACCAGGTTATTTAAAGTAGGTGAGCTCAATTTATTTTTCATTAATATAACTGAAATTGAAATCAAGCACTCTACTGTAAATTCTGCTACTTCCTAGACAACACAAATGTATAAAGGGAAGCCAGCAGGCAGTCTCTATGCTCTAGGATACAGGGACAGTACCCTTGTATGTAGTAAAGTATGTAGTGTACAGGGAAAGTTGGTATCCTATTGTCGTCCCTCATTGTATTCAGACAGTATGGTATTGTATGCTTGTGCAGCAACACAACCTGTAACTAAATTAAATGGGACCAGAATGAACAGAAAGTTGCGCGATGACAAATAATAGAAAAACCGGATTTTCTATGTATATCCAGAGAAATAAAGGACCTTGAATGGTTTCCCAAGACCCTGTCAAGTGGGAAATGCACTCCTGACACAAAGCGAGTTTGCTACCTCCAGCTTTCTCAGGGCTCTTCCACAATAGCTTGTTTCTGAGCTGCCTGTCGGCATTGCTTAATTAGGCGAGGAGTTGATTAATTTGTGGTAATTGACAGCTAATTAAAGGCTCGAGGGCACATCGAATTGACGTTTATCAGGGTGGTTGGGGCTCAGAGGGGTCAGGGAGAAGTGTTGCTGATGGCTGGCTTTTAGGGATCCCCGTCCTTAGGAAGTGACCCCAACATCAGCAACACGTCACGACAGGCGGAAAGTATCTGAGCTTCCTGCTCAGGAAAGGTCTGAAGCACAAACACACTTGTAGACCAAATTTTTCATTTGAGCATCCAAGGAAAGAGTTTGATGGATTCTTTAAAAATAAATTTGTGATTAATTTTGTTCTCTTACCCGAAACCAAAAGGCTCTCACTTTAAAGTAGACAGGTTACTGTGCGTCATAAATCCATAATTCCCATCTTATAATGAAATCTTCTGAACTTCCACATCAGGCATTCAAAGAAAGTCTATAAACTATCATACACAACAAAGTGGAAAGAAGTAGCATTCTTTGAGAAATCCATCTGTAAACAGAAAAAACATGTGAAACTTGTTTCCTCTGGAACAATAGAGAACATTGTTAAATATACAACAATTTTGTGTGAATAGTTTACCTGTTGTCTTGTGCAAATGATTACTGATAACATTTGGGGAACTCGAAGAGCATCTCATAGTCCCGAGTGAAAGGTCAGACACCTGTCCGCATTTCTATTGACCTACCAAAAAAGGCTCAACAGGAGTCTCAGAATGCACAATAATATTACTGTCAGCACTGCAGTACATTTGTGATGTGTGGAGGGAGAAAAGAGAACTCAGTGCACCTCCCATTTATAAAAACGTTTTGAAAATTTTACATGAACTCCAAAACATCTTGTCTGGGAAATATAGAGCAGCCGTTTTTGCAGTGGCTGTCGAAACCCGTGTGAATCGGAAAGACAATTAGGGGCTTATTAGCTGCCTGGGGAGATGTGTAACTTGTGCAGTAACCACTTGCCAAAATGGCCAAAGTTTTAGCGACATCTCCAGCTGAGAACAGTCCGAAGCATTGTCTCACCTAATTACAATGAATGGGTCTCTTTTTGTTTCCAATTCGCCATGCTTGTCCGATTCTCTTTTTGCCTGACCGCTAACTCTGTCCACGGTGGAAGTGTGCTAATTAGAAAAAAATGGCCCTAGTAATTATGTCAACTCTTGTTACAATGGACGACAATGCGCAATATTATTTTTATGCAATGTTTTGTGTAAGGCCTCCGCTTCCAATTCTCATTAAGTGAAAAATTGCATCATACAGAGGACTAGTCCAGTGTCAGAGCTACTTATATTTCCAGACCTAAAGAAGCGGTTTAACGGAGAATGTCTGTGAAATGGTGCAGGCATGAAGTTATTGCCCTAATTAATAAGTTTCAGGCCCTCCAAACAGTTTCTACATTAAGGTGACTGCAGGAAGTTTAGTTTTTTTTACATGAGAATCCTTTCTTTTGCCAGCTGCCTCCCTAGTTCATCTCTTCCAAATTCTGCCAGTAAGGTTTACTCTAAAAATCAGTCCCCATCAACCAATTTTCATTTGACATACTTGAGACCTAAACTTTAACCAAATAGCTAAACTGAAGACATCTTACAAGTTAACTTAGTTTTTATAAAGAATATATAGCTTTTATAAAATTAACAAGTGTCATTTCAGACATGGGCCCAGATCAACATATAACACTGAACTACCCACCAATTGCAAGCTTGGCTTTCTGAGTTTTCTGGAGGGCTGTTGTGTTAGCGAGCATTCATTCCAGTTCTGTCTTAACATGTCATACCAGTTGTTTACTGGCTTAACTGGACAAATTTTACATGTTTTCACAGTTCTTCAGGTGCTGTTGATTTAAAGACTCAGACCCTGCAGACACATGCACTCCAAGACTAGGATTGGATACTTCTGAGCTAGGGCTTACTATACAGTATGGATAAATGCTCATAATTAATTCCAAAAGAGAACATTAACTTCTTCTACTACTACTAAGAACTACTTTAAAACACCTCACAACAATGAATGCGATCTTAAACAAAAAAGATGTTCGTTGGCCATTTCCAAGAAAAAAAAAGCAATCAATTACAAAACCCATGAAATGCCTGCATTACCCTTCCACAATGGAATGAATTAGCTTCAAACTTGGATCTTCCAGCAGCTTCATGTGAAGGCAAGTAAACATATTATAAAAGGAATTCATACTCAAACTAACAGTCTCAAAATTATTTTATTCACAATTACAGTTTAACACAGAACTCACTTAAAAGAGACAATAAAATGTTAATGTAGAATTGCAATAAGATGAATGGTACAGAAAACAAGACATTTATATATATATATAAAAAAAAACTCAGAGAGAAAGTCTAAGGAGGGCTACCTTACTAGTGCAAGTACAGAAATGAAACGGATCGTCCTGGAGCTGGTTGAAAAAGAAAACATTTGAAAGCCGTACTGGATTCAAAACTGTGGGGCTTTAGTTCACTGAAGCTGGTGAGTCTACAAGCATGCACTCCTGGGATGAATTCTGGGATGCTTGAGTACCATTTGTGGCAATGTAGCTTTGCAAGGTGATTGCTCTCCTGTGGTTCCAATTTTGTAGTACTGTCACTGATCAATAAGGGAGAAGTCAGTTTGTTGAAATTAAGTCAGAAGTCTATTTATGAACTGACAAAATGGCTACACATCAATGGCATGTACAAGACTGGCCTGTTCAGTTCACTCCAGGGTGCTTTTTTCCAGGTGTCCCGAATGTTCACGATGCCGCAGTAAGAGAGCCTGCTGCACGCTGTGGAGGTGCTCTACAAGTGTTCTTCAATCTCATCACCAATCACACGTTTGTTTACTGAAGTCCTACTGACCAAAGACGATTACTTCTTGGGTTTCTCCAAAATATTCAGAAATTTTCCTCTGGTCATTTCTCTGGCTGAAAAACACAAACAAAGGTTATCTCACAATTAGACAATGCAGGTAAATTCACACACACACACACACACACACACACACAAAGATTAAAGGTTTCTTCTTCATAAAATATGGCCAGCAGCCATAATCACCCTGCAACTCACAACTGGCAACCCACTGAAGCTAAGCAGGCGTGAGCCTGGCTAGTACCTGGAGGGGAGGCCTCCTGGGAAAAACTAAGGTTGCTGCTGGAAGACGTGTTAGTGAGGCCAGCAGGAGACACTCACCCTGCGGTCCATGTGGGTCCTAATGCCCCAGTATGATGAGGGGGACACTACATTGTAAAACAAGGCTCCAACCTTCAGATGAGACATAAAAACCAGAGGTTCCGACTCTCTGCGGTCATTAAAAATCCCAGGGCGTTTCTCGAAAAAAGTAGGGGTGTAACTTCAGCATCCTTTACCAATCATCCTCCTAATAATCCCCATTTCTGAATTGGCTTAATCACTCTGCTCTCCTCCCCACTGATAACTGATGTGTGGGGAGCGTACTAGTGCACTATGGCTGCCGTCACATCATCCAGGTGGGGCTACCTGTAAAGGGCTTGGAGTAGAGTGTCCAGCAAAGTGCTATATAAGTGTAAGTAATTATTATTATAAAACTTTCGATAAGCAACAATTTAATAATCATAAAAGCCCCACTTCATCTTGAGGATTAGCCTTTAGGTTTGTCAGTAAGATATTTTGCCATGAATTATCACATTTAAGTTCTTGAAGGCTGATAACCTGTCAACAATGTGTGTCCACTGGAGACACTAAATCTGGGAAATTACCCTAAAGCTGGAGTAGACAATACTTAAATAAGCAATACAGTGAAATCATGATCAAGAGGTGCTATACACTATAAAGCAAAATATAAAGACATTCTCAGTGAGAGGTACCCAACCAACAGGTTTCATGAAACAGAAAAAAAATTAATATGGCTACATTAATGTGAAGGCACTGTAAAAGAACTTTCTATATGGCAGAAAGTATGAAAAAATAATCTCGTTTGACAGACAGCAAGGACTACAATTATAATGTTTTCACGGACTAAACACGGCCATCCCATCAGTGTACTGTAAATAAATCCAGACCACAGCAGCTGGTGAGCGTATGCACCAATTTTCAGAGAACGGCCAATCCCCAGGCTGGAGTGGGAAAGCGAAAAGTGAGAAGTGAAATTCGTCGGGAGTGCAGAGGTCAGCACCCCTTCTGTTGCTCGACAAGTGCTACAGAAAGTGTGCACAGCATGCAGGGCCACGAATCGCTGCACGCTTCTTCGGAATGAGAACACACAGGCCCGGCCAGTCGGCTCTGACGGTCTGAATTCTGTTTCAGACTGCATTACTCAAACTCTTTCTTGCTTGCTGTTATTACTGCTCTTGTAACTGGTAAGATGCAATGCATAATATCGAGTGAAATGATTCTCACCTTGATAAGAATTAGATTCATTTCTCTAAGCAGGGTTTAATTTGAATTTTGATGCCTTAACATTTCTGTAGCTTTCTGGGAGATGAAAGTCTAATTATGACTATACTAAATTAAAAACAAAAAAGGGGATTTTGTGGACCATCTTGTGACTTGTTAATACGCAACAGCTCTTAAAGTGTTTTCTCTAGCTTTTAAGTGTTGAAGAGCATATAACCTCACTGCCTGGTAGCAGGGTTTGTGCTGCATCCTTGCCAGGACTGTAGTCTCACAAAGTTAATAGTTGCTTTTATAGAATTCAAATAATTGTAGTTAAAGAACTAAAAAGACTGAAAGACAAATCAGAATTACTGCTCTAACTAGACTCTCTTTGGTTAATCCTCTTTCTTGTACTGTATCACCAAACTATTGTTCTGTAGGCTACCCTCTTTGGTGCAATGTGACTAGTTTACTTCCAATCCAATACGATGCTCAGCCAATCAGGAAACTCAGGGCGATTCAAAATAATTCTATGGCAAAGTTAAACTTTCACATTTTTCCTAAAAAAATAATACACTATGGACTTCAGTAGTGTGTTAAATATCTATTAACAGCAATGGAGCTAGGCAAACCCTACAGAGATTAGGAACAAGGTTGATTCCACTGAAAAATAGAAAGGAGAAAATGTGTCTACTGTGGAGCATTTTTCAGGTGTCACCACAGTGCAGACCTGTTCTGTCTCTGATCTTTTTTTGCAGGAATAAGGTTCTAATTGGCAAGACTGAAGTGAAATAAAGTACATCTCTGCTCCAGAAAATTTAAGGCATCAGATAATTCAATGTGGTAGAAAAAGACATGTATTATTCAGTGGTCATCTAATAAAACACAATGCTATAGAGGACATTTTGAATAGCCCCAAAGCTGAACAGCAATTATAGAACGAATGTAAGAATTATGCACACTCGAGCACTCACCAACACCTTATAAAATGAGCTACTAAAACACAAAAAAAGCATTCCAACATAACACCACTTAACACAATCGCTAGTGCAAAGCTAAACCAACAGCAATATTCCCCTCAACTTTTATAACTCTTAATGCTCCTCCTTCCCCAGTTTTCTCAATGCATTGGCTAATGTACAAATGGAGAACAAGCCTCACACAGCGCAGAAATTAACTTTTCCACAGGATTTTCACCCTTTTTACCAAGAGATCCAAAAGCATATTTAAAAAAATGAACTCATGCAATCTACTCCCTTTGTTCCACAGTTTGCTTGTGGGCCCCAAATTTGAAATTGCTGGCTTGTGAACGCTCCTTTAATATGTGCTCAGAAGTTTATTTCACATTGAAATGAATAAAGAAGATCTGGCTATAGTGGAATGTAAGGATTATTATTTTTTTTTGCAGTTTGTGGGTGATGTTAATGTCAGTGTGCAGGGACAGACTTATTTGGAAGACTTCCAAACTGCTTTCCATTATCTAGTTTCTCTTTGTTATTAAGATGGCTTAAGAATTGTGGATATTCAATCTCATTCATAAGAATTAAAAGGTTACTGTATAATTGCATAAAATGAATGGCTATGAGATGAAATTTCAAAAGTGCACCATTCTTACCAACCTATTTTTTTTTTACATTTTGCAATTGGATGAGCCTGGAAACCTTTGACATAACTCCTACACTGATCTCTGAATTTTTTTTTTGCAGTAGAAAACTGCAGACAGAAGGCTAAAAATCAGCACTTCAATACACTTTGGTATTGAAGCTCCGCCATAAGCTTTTGCATGACGGATTATTAAAAATCTTCAATCTCTGAATGGCAACAGCCATAGCACCCTTTAAGCAGACAACAATCTACCCCCAAACTCTCGTCATCTGCATTATGTTAGAGCCGCATCAACCTAGAATTAATAAACGGACCCCCCCAATACACCCACCAATCTCTATAACCCCCTTTCCCCAAGCAGAATTGTTTATAAATGCACACTGCGTATTTAATTTGCAAGACGTCAGACAGGAAGGTAATTTATACAAACATCTGTTCATTTTTGACTTACAAAACAACAACACACACGGCATGCTGATACCACAGTGACAGAGCACGTGTCAGGCTGTCTGGTGGCAGCAAGGGGAGGGTGAGGGGGGTTGTGGATGTACTCTTCTTCAGTGTGCTGATGGAACATGCAGGGATCTGGGAAGCTGGGACATTAGATACCAGCAGACAGATGCACAGAAATTAGATATGCTGAACCTGTTGGGGCCTGGCTGGGAGCTGTTCATTCCTCACTCCATCTCATAATATTTTGGAAATTCTCTTGGAAAATAAAATGGCATGATGCACCTTTTACTTAACCTCCATTTTGGGCCTGGCTTCCATTGTGAGTTTTTCAGTTTTACTGTTTTACCCTCACCATGGGAAAACACAAGGAAAGGTTCCCCGGCTGTGTATTCCTAACCAAGACAACACACATTTGTGTGGCTGTGACTCCATCTACCTGGCTTCTTGTCACAACTAATCAAGTGACGCAACAGGGAGTATCCAGTGTTTAGTCAACATGCTATGAAACAGGACATACCCCCAGACTTACAAACAAGTTCCTGGTCCACTGAAAGACATGCATTACCTGTAAGGACAATTTTCTTGCATTCTTTAAATCACAGCTGAGATTCCATGTGTTGGGCCAGAAGTCTCTAGTGTTAAAGTTCCGTAATACAGATCTATTTTGCGCATCTTTAAAATCCTACTTCCTGACAAGGAAGGGATCACTGTAGAATTTCAGCAGGCTTAAATTGCTCCATAAAAACAGATCCACTACATGGAACTGATCCATTCCAAGTGGCAGAAACCTTTTAGTTGTAGAGACAGAGCTAATCCAATTTACAACCTGTTTTTCACACACCAGCTTCCACAGCTGATACATGTCAAATATTTGTGCCTGGTTAGACATTCATATTTGGTTAGAAAAAACAAGATTACCGAGATGAGTAGTTTCAATTGCTGTCAGGCAAAATGAATAATTTTTGAATAATCATGAACAACACAAGCTACATGTGACAATTTTTATTCTAATATCATTTTACAAAAACACAATTGAAATGCTCCATTTTAGAACTGCATAAAAGGCCTCCTCTTATTCGTAACCTTTCAGTTTATACCCAGAATTTCGGGCTTTGCTGGGATGGACAAAATTATCAGAATTGCATTTGCAAATTGCACATTGTTTGATTCACAGCAGAAATAGCAAATAAAAGCTCTGATTATTTTTATACCGCCAGACAAAGCCACTTGATCCAAGTCCTAAATATATACCCAACATCTCTGCATGTCTGCGAAAGAGTTACCCATCTCCACTCCCTGAAGCTAATGAAAAAGCACACTGAATTGTAATTTAGATGAGATGAGCCGCTCTGAATAATAATGCTGGAGCAGCACTGTGGCCGTTTCACCTTGAGGTGTCCATCATCAGGTTAAACATGATGCTAATTGGATTCAGATTGATTAATTTCTCTCACTGCTGTCTATTCAAATAACGTTTAACAAAATAATCACAGCTCGTGACACCGAAGCCTACCCT